CAGGTCCCCAGTCCCACAGGGCGCAGGGGCTGCCGCCCACGGGAGAGCTCCTCCACCACCTTGCCGTAGCCAGGGGGCTGTGCATGCCCCAAGCACACCCGGAGACCCTCGGTCACCCCACCGGGGCTGCAGGGTCCCCCCAGTTCCTCTGCTGGCACCCCGGGTCCCTCAGCACCCCTAGCCCTTGGGCTTGGGGCTTGGTGGCACTGACGGATCCCCTGGGAACCCCCCTCAGCAGCACAGACCTTGCACTCATCTGCAAAATGGGCCAGAGGGGTGGGGGGCCGGCAGACGGCCGGGTTGGCTTTGACGGGGGATTTAACACTGCCATCCTGTTTGGGTGGGTGGCTGGAGGAATTTCGGGGTAAGGGCGGCTGGCCCCGGCATAGGGCTTCCCGGCCCCCTTCCCGCAGGCTTTTCTGGGTCTGTGAGTCTCCTCGGGCATCCCAGTGCAGGGAGGGGGCACAGACTTTGATGGGGCTGGGGGCACGGCGTGTCGCTGCAGCAGGGACCCCCCCTTCCTGCAGCCTGGCAGCCACCGCAGGTGATTTGCCTCCTTGCTGGGTGTTTTTTGGAGGTGCTGGTGTCAGCCGGGTGCTGGGTGCCACAGACCTGCCCCGTGCTGGTGCCGTGGCCGTTTTCCCTGGGGTGCTCCCACGCGGTGCCTTGGGGACCCCCACACTGTCCTGCAAGCTGGGTGCCAGCCGGGAAGGGGTGGGTGCCCGGGACGTCGCCCTGCGGTCGGGTGAGCTGGGCCGAGCGGGTGACTTGGACGGTGGCGGCTTCATCCCCAAAGGGGCAGCCAGTGGCTCCCACGTCCTGCAAAGATAGAGAGCAGAGATGGGACAGGGAAGTGCTGTGTCCCCGCTCCATCCAGCCTGGTGCTGGGCACCTCTGGAAGGGAGGGAAAAAAATCCAGGAAAGTGAGAACTGCTCTGAAACCAGGCGGTTTGGGGCACGAAGCATCTCTGCACCGCTTACCTGCCCGAAGGGACTCTCCGGGGCTGCACCGGCTCCCGGCAAGGGCTGGCAACCAGTGGGTGACCCAAGCTCTCTGGTGAGGGGGGGGCAGGG